TCTCTCTCTCTCTCTCTCTCTCTCTCTCTCTCTCTCTCTCTCTCTCTCTCCATCATGCATGTGCATGCAACCATGATAAAGACTCTCAATCAGTTGCCCACTAATGCGCATGCAAAAGTACACCATACATAATCTATCTTTGCCTTTGTATATCTTTGTATATGGTACACAACCTATGCATCCACCATCCATTCTCAACAACTGATGGCGGTGGATGCCCTGACTATGGACCACACGTGATATAATATAAGTATGTGATATCTGATATGCTTTACCTTAGTCAATTGCATGGGTGGAAGATGTGACTGAAATAGCAAATCAATATGTCAGCCAGATTTAGACCTGGTTGCCAATAAAGATATAAAGAGTGATATTTAAAAAATTTGTTATTTTGATGTCTGCATTATCAGAAGATATGATCATCTTCTTCTGAAAATGAATATGATGTCAACTCTAATATGGAAAAGGTGTTTTGGTATAAGAATCACAGTAACTATCCTATACCAATCCCAGAATTTCAGTAACATTTTAGTAAGATTTTCATAGTAATTGTAGTTATTTTTGAGATTCTTATTGTTGCCAAAAAATATGTAAATGAAAGCTGTTTTCTTGAAAGCAAGTAAACAGATGATATCCAGGGAAGAATACCTTCATTATACCAGCAAGAACTGCACCTCCCAAGTATACCATATGCTTTCTCCGAGGAGGGTCTTCAATTCTTAACCTCAGCTTCTGTGAGAGAAACCAAGTTACAGTTAGAGATAATTTATTTAACTCAAGCCAGTTATTTGGTACAAGGAAAGAAGAAAAAGGAAACATGTAAGCTTAACCTTAAGGCCGTCTCTGTTTCCCCTTAGTACAACTTCAAGATAACGGTCAAGTATTTCTTTCTCCAAACTGCACAGTTGTTAGGAAGAAAACTTTTATTATCTCACACAGGTCTAGAGAAACCATATTCACAACTACCATGATTGCCAGATTAAAATATGATCATGAACGTCCGGTCAGATTGACTTGGTAGCTATCCATTTCATGCATCCAAATTCATTTCTCATTTTGCCTATTTTCTCTCTTTTTATTTTTTGGGTATGTCCCCATGGGATTGATCCTGGCACATTGTGGTGCAAGTAACCATCAAGTCAGGTGCCCTATTTCCGTTGCCTCAGTTAAGTTGAACAATGCAATGATAAAGCGTATCAAGGAAAAACAAAATAAAGAGATCAACAAATTCAGGATAAATAATATACGTTCATCCCAAAACCTCACCCAACTGACTTCTGCCAATTAATGAAATAAACTATGTAAGACTATCCATGATGAGGAAAGACAATCATGTGCACTGTGCAGATGCATGATTATGATCAACGAGACAAAATTATCCACATCTGCATCTGAGAAAGATGGAGTTTTACCGACTCGATAAACCCGGATACATTGTGCTTCCTCCACTCAGAACGATGTGCTGGTAAAGCTGCATTAATTTCGAATAACAGCCACATGAGAACCACACAACCAAATTCAAAGTCAAAGGAAGTACAGAAATACTCTCTGTAAAATATCAAAAATATGATAAATAAAGACACCTTTTACCATCAAATGAGGAGGCTAAGATACAGAAATCTCTCTCTCTCTC